TTCTGCTTTTTCAGCCATTGAACAGACTAGTCAGAGCACTGACAGTTGCCTCTACAGAGATGCCAGACATCCAGCAAAAGCTACAGCACAGCAGGAAAGTATAGGACTTACTGGTCCCATACCAGTTAGCGACACAGCTCTGGGACAACTGCCCAAATCACTAGCATGTGCTAGTCATGGCATATGTGTTACACTGCACTGTCTGAACTTCCCAGATAGAAAACAGCATTTACAAACACGTATCCCAACAGGACACAATGCAACAAAAGTAGCACAGCCCCCTGTGCTGTAGCTGTTCCCGTGAAGAAAGAATTACTATCTATAATGCTCATGTTTTCAGAAGAAAATGTACTTGTTATACCAGATCTTTACAATTGCTAGTTTGTTTCAGAAGTGTCTAGAAAACAAGTACACAATTCAAAGTTTCAGTGACAAATCATTCTCAACTTGGAGGCTTTTAGACCATAAAGGTGAAAAACAGTCATGCTTTTTCGTTTGCATTGTTGCTTTCCCGTTGACTATGACAGTTACTAGAGTTTATGATAAAGTACACTGTTATAACATGGGACAAGGACAGAGTTTGGTGAAGAGTCTCCTAAGCACTTTCATGCTCCTACACACTTTGGTCTACCAAAAGCTAAGACAGTCCTCAAATGGCTAAGACCTGCTCTAAGTCCCGCCAAGCAGATCAGTTTCTCGGGTATTGTGCTGGCCCAACCATGGTGTTACATGCTGTAGTGCCCCAAGCCAGCTCTGCCTACACTTACCTTGCATGTACGTAGGCCAGTAATACAGCAATAGCTTTTTTACATCTTTCCATACTTCTCAGAGGGTATTCTCACCTTTTTTTGGGGGGGTGGGGGGGCGGGTAAACCTGAACAATGCAGGGCTCTTCATAAAGAAATCAAGGATTTAGATCTAATTGTGATTCTGTGATGAATAACTTATAATAATAATTTATGGCCTAAGAACTAGCAAATATAAAAGCACTCAAAATACCCTTTACAACAACAAATAAACTTTTTTCCTACCCATTCTCTGATAAAAGGCAGAAGACTAGTCTCTACCAGTGAGGACATTAAGTACAATGAAACCTGTGTAGTTGACAACATAATGCTGGAATTAAGGATGTGATCTAGGTCTGGCCTTGTAACTGAAGCTGAAAATTATAGAATAGCTAGTTTAGAGTACTGCAAAGCATAAGGTATTTTATACCTGGATCTTTAGCACTTGAGCACAAATATCATCTAGAATTAAAACTCAACACATTCAGTGGAAGTGGAGATGTTCATGAACAGCACTTACAAATACTTACATAAAGCCCAAAAGTTTGTTCCTTTCAAGTAATTTCAAAGATTATCATACAGAAAGCTATTGTGTCTTAATTTGGACACTTTTCTCCATAAATAAGCAATAGAAAAAGCCTTAACATTTTCATATCAAGGTAGGCACCTGAGATTTCCAGAAACCAAAAATTAAATCTTGAAGACCGTGAATGACATTAACAGAGCCATCATTGCATTACACAAAGTCTTCTGCAGCAGCAGAGGTTTAAGATACCCACCTACCCTGGGTTGTTCATTTCAGCTCATGCATCACTTTTTCCTGTCTCCTCTCTGTCTGCTGCCTTGATTGCAGAAGCACAACTGCTCGTGGAGCTGTTCTGTGAAACAGATTAAAACCATGATCTGACTTTCTCTTTCTGCAGAGTCTATTTCAGTCACTTTGGTTCCCTGACTTATTTCGCAGAGCAATACCACCTATATATGTGCCATCACATCATCCTAAGCCTGTAGCTTCGTAACAACTCAGACGTAGCATTATCTTCCAGCACTGCCCTCCTCCAAACCCACATGTATTGCCCCATCGTGTGCTGGTGGAAGCATCTGTACTGCTACACCACAGAAAGCTTATTCGAGTTAAAGCATCATTTTCTACTTGGTTATTTTTAATCCACATCAGTCCCCCAGCCTGCATCAGAATATAGCACCACCAGCACTTTTACTGCCTGCTGGGAGAAGGGAGTACAGGGTCTGTAAAAAAACCAAGACTGTAACTACTTCCCCAGTGGCAGGGTGATACTTTACACATGTGAAAGAATATCTGAAACTCAAGATACAAATCTGCAACTCTCAAGTTATATACACGTTGTAAATTCTTGAAGAATAGTTGTGAGTTCTTGAAGAAAGGCCATTTGATCAACAGCAGCACTACTAAGCATCCAAATAATTGGATACTAGCTAATTGGAAGAGGACAGAAAGCATTAGCTTTAGGATTTTAGCATTTATGGCCATATCTAGGTTAGAATTTACCCATCTTAGAATATCTGAATGATACTTGGAAGCACCAAGCATTCAGACATGACTATTTAAACATGCACCTTCAGTGATGTAGTATCTACTTCATCATTTGTCATGTGATGACAAATTCTGCTGCATGTAGCTACAAGATGCAGACTTTCAGCAAATGACTTTTGAATCTCAAGGGACCTGTATCCCCAAGTCATTCAGTATAGTTATTAGCTCATTATAATAGTATTTCACTTCTTTTCTCATAGTACAAGTGCAATTCTAGTACTGCCCTGTTCTCATAAGAACTTAATAAGATGTATATTATATATAAACTACTTATTTACTGCATTCCCTCATGAGAAAAATAATTGTTAAGTACAAAAAGAGAAAGACTGAACATTTAAAGTCCTATTTTCACAATGTTAGTATGAGGTTTCATACTTTCTTGACAAATGCTACTGCAGTTGAAATCCTGTCACATAGTAAACTATGAATTTGATTGTTTTCATTAACAAATTGCTTTTTTCACAGAAAGCGTCAAGGCTGTAATAAGAGGGCTCTCGAGATAAATGTGACTAAGCAGCAGGAGCTAATTAAGTAGGACAATGAGTAAGCATTTATGGGTGTGATAGGAGACAGCTGATTTAATTGCTAGTCTAATTATCAATTAGAGAATCAAGAAATTACATGTAAGTGAAATATTCTATTTGTTGATAGCTAAATGATTTTTAGAGGCCCAGACGAGCAGTATTCATTGCTATTTTAGGACCACAAGAGGTTTTTTTCCTCTTACTCAAATACAGGTTCTTTGTACTTCAAAAATGTATATACAGTCTTCTCATACTCAAATATTTAAGGCCTTTAGGTCATTTGCTCTATAAAAAAGGCAAATAAAAAGCTAGCAGTTAAGCATTCATACACACTACCTATAAACCACTCAGCTTAGGTCAAAACCTTTCTGCATTTATTTTATAATAAGGATAACAACTGCCCAATGGTGTGAAAAAGTCACATTAACTACTTGCAGTGTGTTTGCACAAGCCAGTTTCCAGACAAAAAGCAAGGGGTCAGGGAACTATTTAAACCCGTAAGGGCAAAGAGCCATTTAGCTACATCCATTGCTGAAATGTTTTATAAAGCAATTGCAAGAAAATAAAATTACCAAAAAAATTATGGAGATCCAAAAATATTAATATATTGGAACACAGTGAGCTTTTTACAAGCTGTAAGTGTTTTTTGGGTTCTTACATATAACCCATAAAGTATGTTGAGGTCTTTCTCAGAACCTCTAATATTAGCATGTAGTTTGTAAAGAACAACATCTACCAGAAAAAGGGATCAGAAAGACACTCTGCATCACAAAACCAATGTTATTTCCCCCTACAATTACCAAAAGATAATTTGGGTGCATATCGAAAGGACCAAAGCACTGGAAGGAGCAGGTTAAAAAAACTGAGAAACAAAAGCAAACACCCATCATAGCACATCTGGTCTAAGCTTTGGACACGTTAACAAGCTAATTCTTATCAGAATAAAAAACCATCATCCTTCAACCATTTTTCATGTCCATCACAATCAATTAAAAATGCTGCAAGTTTTTGGCTGTTGAACAACTCCCTTGTCCAGGTTTAAAATAAGACTCTTAAGAACTTAGTATCCAGAAAGGTGCCCAACTATTTGTTTTCTGCTAAGGGGAGCCTGGCTAATCAGCAAGTTACAGAGTCTAGATAGACATCTTATCCTCTGAAACATGGCTAACTCCTCAAGCAAGGTAACAGCTTTTCATCAGCTTAATCCAAAAATGTTTTCCTACTGAATGACATTTTAAAAAACTACAAGCACTCAAAAACACCCCCAAAAGATTACGGGCAACAGCAAGCGCATGTCTCCTGGTCTCTGGAGGGACATAAAGAAAATATAGCAAGGGCATTTTTAACCTTTCACCTGAGAGATGCGGTCACGGTGTCACCCGGGAGAGCCACCCGTCGGGGCGGGCGGGGCAGCCAGGGG